TTGGAACATGTGTGGGGAGAAAAGGGAGGGAGAGGGTAAAAAAACGCGGAGGGTACAGATGGATATGGAACAGGCGGAAGCGGATGTAAACGGTGACGGGTGCAGACGGAGGTGGATGCAGAAGGAGGTGGTTACAGACAGCGGCGGATACAGTTTCAATGGAGGATGGAGTGCTGGACACATTCGTTATTGGCCATCTCCTGGCATAGATCTCAGGGCCTAATAGGTGTGTGGGGGAGATATGGCAGGCCGCAGCAGCCCTACTCTATAGTGCCGTCATGGTTTATGGCACTTAAAAGACCGTTTTATGTTCCGACAATCTGGCAAGGAGCAACAAGTGTGGTAGGGAGATAGGGGCGGCTGAGAGAGAGAGAGAGAGGGAGGGAGGAAAGGAAAGAGGAAGAGAGAGGGAGGAAAGGAAAGGAGGGAGATAGAGAGAGAGGGAGGAAAGGAGAGATATATATAGAGAGGGAGGAAAGGTAGGAGATAGAGAGAGAGGGAGGAAAGGAGAAATATATAGAGAGAGGTAGGAAAGGTGGGAGATAGAGAGAGAGGGAGGAAAGGAGGGAGATAGAGAGAGAGGGAGGAAAGGAGGGAGATAGAGAGAGAGGAGGAAAGAGAGAGAGAGGGAGGAAAGGAGGGAGATAGAGAGAGAGGAGGAAAGGAGGGAGATAGGAGAGAGGGAGGAAAGGAGGGAGATAGAGAGAGAGGGAGAAAGAGGAGATAGAGAGAGAGGGAGAAAGGAGGGAGATAGAGAGAGAGGAAGGAAAGGAGGAGATAGAGAGAGAGAGAGATGAAAGGGGAAGAGAGAGAGGGAAGAAAGGAGGGAGATTGAGGGAGAAGGAGGAAAGGAGAGAAAGAGAGAGAGAGGGAGAGATGATCGATCGAATGAATGAATGAATGAATGGGAGAGATTGCAAACCGATAGACAGGCAAAAGGACTCCGTATCCACCGCATCTCCTCATGAAAGTCGGCGGCGGCGCGAAGGACGGAGAGTCTGACCGCAGAGTTTCCGAGCTCCGGCGCTGGCATGAGGTCGTTCACCCCGCGAGCTTTTTCTTGTGACGTCGGGATTAAGGTCTACAGTACCCGCGTTTAAACGTCTGTCAGGCCGTCGTAGATTGCGGTCGTAGAGTCCCCGATGTCAACGCCCCTTCATTGTGGAATCGATGGTGTGGGGGGGACAGTTTGTAGTCGTAGGGGAATGAGATCAGGTTGTGAACTGTTTTCGCTGTTCCGGATTAGCGTCTGTGTTTTGGCCGCGTTCGGTGTTGTGTTCATTTTTTGGGGTGTTTTGTTCATGTGGGTTTCTGTGTGTGTGTGTTTTTTTCCGGTGTTCGGTTGGACGTAGAAAAATGTAACTTGGGACTTTTGTTGCGCGCTTTAAACTCTGCTGAGACTGTTCGGTAAAGTGGGTCAGATGAGTGTGTGTGTGTTGGTTCGTTTGTGTGTTGAGTGCTTGTTTTTTGTTGTTTGTGCGAGGGTGTGTGTGTGTGTTTGTGTGTTTGTTCTTGTGTTTTAAAGGCGTGTTTGGGTTCGATTGAATCTTTATCGTTTCCGCTGTTTTAGCCCGCGTGGTCGCTCTGCCTCCGAACAGGTGTATGGGTTTGTGTGTGTGTGAGTTGGGCCTCTTTTCTCACAGAGGTATTTGTGTTGTCCGATTATGGGAGTGGATTTCTGGCTTCGCTGCAGTTGGTTTTGGGGCGAGTTTAATGCTCCATCTTGTTGTTTTTTCTGTAGATTGCGTTTGTGGGGGAGTAGGATGCTGTATCTTGCTGGTATCTGCGAGAATATGTTGATCTGTGTACGCGAGATAGGGAAGGGAAGAAAGGGAGGGAACGAGACGGGGACACTGTGTAAGAGTAAGAGTAAGAGACATGTAGAGAAGTCTGTGAGGTGTAGCGGCCGAGTGGCGGTCGGGCGGGATGGCGAGCGAGCAAGCGGCGGGGCGGGCGGGCGGGCGGCGGTGTGGTATGTGGAGCGCGGCGTCACAGCCTCGCGCGTTCCGGCCCGGGTCTGCTGCGTTGAAGTCACCAGTTTGAGGGAGAGAGAGTGTGCAGGGTGGGTGTGCGACGCCGGTGCCTCAGCGGCCGACACACCAGCTTTTTTAAAAACCTCCTCGCGCCTAGTGATAGTGCCCCCCTCCCCGGTGGATGTGTTGCCCCGAGGACGAGCAAAGGAGGAGAGCGGCGAGAGCAGGGCGCGGAGGCTCAGGAGGAACGGGGAAACGTGCACAGTGCAGTGCGGCGAGCGTTGATGGGCTGTAGTAGTGAGACGGGACTGGGCTCTTGCGGAAGTACGAGGAGAGAGTGGGTGGCTGTGGTGGCAGTGGTGGCGGCGGCGGTGGTGGTGGTGGTAGCGGTGGTGTGGTGTGTAGCGTGCACCCCTACCCCCCCTCCTTGCTCCTACCTCCCCCCCCCTCTTCCCTCCCTCCGACTCCTCCTCCTCCTCCTCCTCTCCCCCCTTCTCCTCCTTCCCATTCCTCCAAAACCCCTTTCCATCCCGGGGACTTTACTCGACGAAACTCGGGGTGTGCAGTGGTGGTGGCGGCGGCGATAGTGCAATCCTATATACACGAGTGTGGTGCTGCCGACGGTGCTCGGTGTATAGTGAGAGTGTAGTGACGTCGAGTGTAGTGACGGTGAATGTAGTGACGGAGGTAGTGTGACCGCCTTGTGGATATCACCTGCTGTTGTCCTACGGCTGATAAACATCTCCCTGACCCCAGCACCAGGTAAGTCTCGCCGGCATGAGTCTAGGCTCTGCTTGAGCGTCGCTGGCTGGCAAGCAGGCTCACGCTGTTGCCACCTGGGCCCCTGTGCGTGCGTTCGTGCGTGTGTGCGTTCGTGCGTGTGTGTGTGTGTGTGTGTGGTGTGTGTGTGTGTGTGTGTGTGTGTGTGTGTGGTGTGTGTGTGTGTGTGTGTGTGTGTGTGTGTGTGGTGTGTGTGTGAGAGAGAGAGCGAGTGAGAGAGTAGAGAGTTTGTTTAATCGTGCCCTTTAAGTGCATTTGTCTGATTTTGCAATGTCTGTATTTGCAATTACAAACGGAGAACGTGAACACCCGCCTTGCCTGATAGAAGGAAAGAACACTTCTAGATGTCGCATGAACACAAAGTCGCCATTCATAATTACTGGCGCTTTATACCATGAGGCGACCCATGCATGCGCGACGTGTTACGACATCCTCGCTCCAATGCAAAGACCCCCCTCCCCCATTTTGAGAGAACAGTCTTCCTCAGGTCTAGCACAGCCTCCTTCCCTCCCTTCTCCAGCCCCCCCCCACCTCCTCCCCTATCCAGCCTCTCCCCCTTTTGTCTCACGAAATTAATGGCTTGACCCAGATTTATTAGCTGCTCGTGAACCGTGATTGCAAAGGCGGCGACTCGTGCGGTTCGCCCGGGGGAGTGCGATTGCCAGGGTGGGATCGCCGTCCCGCAGCGCCGATCGCCGCCAGTGACCCCCTCGGGCCCCTACGCGATCGGCCGCCTCCTCCTCCTCGCTCGCGCCGTCGTCGCGTCGTCGTCGTCGTCGTCGTCGTCGTCCGGCAACGTTATGGCGGCGGAGGGTCGTGTCTGTTGCCTTTTGCCGCCATCGGTTCGAGCGCGCCGAATGAAAGCGGCGTTGGAAGTTGTACGATTTTCGTTTCCTCTTTTCTTTCTTTCTTTTATTTGGTTCTGGTTGTTCGACGTCCCGATTTCGTGTCATGAGTCATGTTTTTTGTTCTCCCTCTTCGTTCTCGTCGTTTTTTTTGTTTGTTTGTTTGTTTCTTGTTGTTCTCGGTGTTCATTGGTTCGGAGGCTTAACGAGCACACACCCGCAAAGGATCCCTCGCTGCTGTTTCTCGAGTGGCACAAAACGCGGAACTTTTTCTTTTCTTTTCTTTTCTTTTCTTTTCAATTCATCGGGTATTTGGTTAGTTGAATTCGGGCGGGATCTTGGGATGAATTCGGCACCCTCATTGCCATTGTTTTCTCTCTTTTTTTATCTTCCTTTTTCTTTTTTTCTTTATTTTCTTTTTTGAAGTTGTGATGGTAACTGGTGCGCCCTTGAAGTTAGAGAGAGAGAGAGAGCGTGTGTGTGTGTGTGTGTGTGTGTGTGTGTGTGTGTGTGTATGTGTGTGTGTGTGTGTGCCTGTGTGTGTGTGCGCGCGCGCGCGCTCTGCCTTTTGTGGGGACGGAGGGGAGAGGGAGTGAGGCTTAGCGGTACAAGGAATGGGGAGAGCACAGGGGCGTGAGATGGGGAAGCAGACGACTAGAGGAGGACGGAGTGGGGGAGGGGCAGGGGGGTGGCTGTTGCTGGTGTGGGTGTGGTGTGTTGTACGCGAGGGGAAGGGGATGGGGAGCGGAGGGGAGGGGGAGGGGGTGGAGAGGTGTGGTGCAATGTGACAGGTGTGGTTACTCGAGGACTGTTTGTGGGGGAGGGGCGGGGGGGGGGGTGGAAGGCTGTTTAAGAAAAGCTTGTTTTACAATGGGCTCACGAACGTGCTCGCGCTGTTACACATTTCCCGTAGACATCGGCACGCGCGCGGGCGGAGGAATCGCCACTTGCTGCTTCCAGTTGTAATTAGACAAACGCAGCATCTACTCACAATGCGTACTCACAAAGCGACACACACACGCATAACGCAATGCCTCTCATCGCAAGTAAATACACAAACACACACAATACAAAACGACATACACATAATACATCTTACACACGCACACCTACACGCACGCACGCACATACACACACACACACACACACACACACACACACACACACACACACACACACACACACACACACACACACACACACACACACACACACAACGCACACACAAACCCCCTCACACAACCCTCTCCCCCCTCACACACACACCCCCCCCTCACACAACCCCTCTCCCCCCCGCACACACCCTCTCCCCCACACACTCTCCCCCCGCACACACCCCCCCCTCACACAACCTCTCCCCCCACACAACCCTCCCCCTCACACATCCCCTCACACAACCCCCCCTCACCCCTCTCCCACACAACCCTCTCCCCTCACACACCCCTCTCCCCCTCACACCCTCACCCACAACACAACCCTCCCCCTCACACAACCACAACCCCTCTCCCCCTCCTCCCTCACACAACCCTCTCCCCCTCACACACCACCCACCCCTCACACAACACCCCACCCCCTCACCCCCACACACCCCCCCCACCCCTCACCCCCCCTCACACCCCCCCCTCACGCACATACGTCCGTCGGAGGATAAGCAGCGGTGAGTGTGCCTGCAGCCTGCCTTCTTTTACCTGGGGTGAACGACCGCCCAACACACCAGCCGCACAAAAAACGCGCGAGCCCTCGCTTTTGCGGACTCGCCGTTCGCGGATTTTGTTCTGTGTTCTGGCGGGAGGGATTTGTTCTCGGGGGGGGGGAGGGGAGGGAGGGGGGTTGAATCTGTTATTTTTGTTTGGGATAGGTTAGTTTGATGGTTTTGAGGGTTTTTTTTTGTAGGTGGTTGAAGGTATGGGTCGTCATGCTGGAAGAGAGAGAGAGAGTGAGTGAGTGAGTGAGTGAGTGAGTGAGAGAAAGAGAAGGAGAGTTGAGACAGGTAGAAAAGAAAGGGTAGAGGGGGACTTATTCCGAGGAAAAGGGAGTGAGCGAAAGAGAGACACAAGGAGAGAGGACGAAAGAGAGAGAAGAGAGAGAAGAGAGAGAGAGAGAGAGAGAAGGGAGAGAGAGAGAGAAGAGAGAGACAAGGGAGAGCGAGAGAGAGAGAGAGAGAGAGGGAGAGCGAGAGAGAAGAGGACAAGGGAGAGCGAGAGAGAGAGAGAGACAAGGGAGAGCGAGAGAGAGAGAGAGAGACAAGGGAGAGCGAAAGAGAGACAATGGAGAGCGAGAGAGAGAGGGAGAGAGAGCTTCTGTGGGCGGGTTTCTAACGAGGCGGGCGGGCGGGCGGTGCATCATGGCCGTCCACGTGGTTGTCTGTCACAGGGGCTCACGCAGGAAGTTACGAACGCGAGTAACTTGTTTTACGGTGTGGGGGGTGGGGTGGGGGGCGGGAGGAGGAGGGAGAGGGAGAGGACGGCGTGGGAACCCCTTCGTCCCCCCCCCCCTTCCTGCCCTTCCTCCTATCTCTCCCTCTCTCTCTCCCCTTTTCCTCCCGTCTCCTCTCCTCTCCTCTCCTTTCTCCTATCTCTCCCTCTTCCCCTCTCCGCTCACCTATTGTACTCTCTATTTCCCCCTCACCCTCCCCTCCCCCTCCCTCCCTCTCTCCTTCCCTCCCTTTCGCCCGGTTTCCTCGTCGTTATGTCATGCCTCCTGCAACATCGTCTATTTCATACTTATTATTATTTCTTATTTTCTTATTCTTATTCTTATTCGTATTTCTTTCATTCTTGTTTTTACTTTTAAAAATTGTTATTTTATGGAGCCTCGTGATGCCTTTTGCCCGCCCTCTCTCATGCATCTTTCATGATCATGATTGTTGTTCCTCTTTGTCGTCCGCGTGACCTTAACCTTATTTCCTCTTTACTCTTTTACTCTTTTACTCATATTACTCTTGTTTACTCATATTATTCATATTTACTCTTGTTTACTTATTTTACTTGATTTCACTTGTTTTTTTTGCTCTTGTTTACTCATATTACGCTCGTTTACTCATATTTGCTCTTGTTTACTCATATTTCCTCTTGTTTACACTTGTTTACTCTTGTTTACCCCTGTCCTCTTCGGTTTTGCTGTGACGCCTACCTCAGTGGAAATCTGTATCCGTTTATTTTCATCACTTTTTTTCGTCCCTGCCACTCATCCCTGCCACTCCATTCGTCGCCGTTTCGCTCGTTTCGTCACTCGCTCGTTTGTTGTTGTTGTTGTTGTTGTAATGATATCGTTCTGTTGTGGCTTTGAGTGTTAAGTGATACTCCTTCGCCGCCGCGCCGTGTCCTTCCGCTTTTCCGATCGTCGTAACGGAAACCTTGTTTGGGACGCCGGTCTCTCGCCTCGTTTCGTTTGTTCTTTTATTTTCACTGTCACTACAAGGGAGAGAGAGGGAGGAGAGAGAGAGAGAGAGAGAGAGAAAGCGCCGTTTCTCTCACTTCCTCTCTCTCTCTCTCTCTCTCTCTCTCTCTCTCTCTCTCTCTCTCTCTCTCTCTCTCTCTCTCTCTCTCTCTCTCTCCTCTCTCTCTCTCTCTCTCTCTCATCTCTCTCTCTCTCTCTCTCTCTCTCTCTCTCTCTCTCTCTCTCTCTCTTCTCTCTCTCTCTCTCTCTCTCTCTCTCTCTCTCTCTCTCTCTCTCTCTCTCTCTCTCCCTCTCTCCCTCCTCCTCCTCCTCCCTCCCTCCCTCTCACGTCCCACTCCGCAATTGCCGCCGCGTCACCGCCGTCGCTTTCCTTCAGCTGCGCCCAATCAGCTGACGAGAGTAATTGTCTCCCGTCGCTTGGCTGTTGTCTTTCCCAATCACTTTTCCGCCTCCAATCAGCTGAGCGTCGAGATTCGGGGCCGAGAGTCCAGTCGTCGAGCTTTTTTTTTTTTTTTTTTTCTTTCTTTCTTTTTTTTCTTTTTCGGTTCGAGATTTCAGCTTGGCAATTTTATGTTTTTATATATTTTTATAAGTATTTTTTTTTTCGTTTACGTTTTTAAAAATCTTTTTCCATTTCTTGTTATTGTTCCCATCGCCCCCTTTCTTTGGTTTTATGGCAACGGGTGATTTATTTCTTGTAATCTCGTGTTTTTTTTTCTCTTCTCTCTCTTCTTTTCT